CGCCATCCGCCTTTCTCCTTGCTGTCGTGCTGCTTACGTTGTCGGAAACACAGGGCTTCCCGCGAAGATGTCACTATCCGGACGAATATCAGCGGTATGTTCCGAAAGCCACTTCCGGCGAAAATGGAACGCACATTCGGAAGTTGGCACGAGGCTCGCGCTCATCCGGAAATCTCGCAATGTCATATACTTTCGGATGAAAATACGTTTGCCGGTTGTGTCGCTCGTCTGATATGTCGTAAAGATCTATTTGGACAAAATAAATCTTGACACACACACACACACACACACACACACACAATACCCTACCGTAACGTGCCAAAGTTCGTCATTTTTTATGCGCATTTTATACGCTAGTATTTGTGATATGACACTGTAAATAAATTTTTTTACTAAATATAAATTTCTCAGTTTAACATTGTTTGTATTATAAATGATTACAGTAATTATTTCTCCTCTAAATATAGCTTAATCTTTTGTAAGCACACATATTTTATATATTTCGTAGGCACTCTGGGGTCTTTTTTATCCAGTCTAATTTTTGTTACTGTTTCAGACTTTTACATAATCTAGAAAAAAATTCAGGATTATTTTCTCACTTCTCTGCTACATTGCTAAATATATTATTTAACTTAAATATTAGAACCTTTATTTAATAAAATTTGAATAAAGTTTGTGACAAAAAATTTGAGAGCAGAATTTTGCTTGGATTAAAAAAGATTCAATGTGCTTACGAAGGGTTAATTGTTTCAGATTTTCTTTTATTTTCGGAAACTTTAATGAAAGATTTTTCAAACTTAAATGAACAATTTTTCAGAAACTTTAATGAAAAATATTAAATAGTGTGAAATTAATCGGGAAGTGATGTCTTTTTTGTTTATTCGCGTCTGTATTTTTACGCGCTAAATCGATATTTTGAATAAAGGAGAGCCATCTCGGTTCTTGACTTCTTGGGTAATATTCTATTCATCAAACGTACTTTTACTATCGAACGGCCCTTATAAAAGACAATTTCGATATATAACCGAGTATTCTCGCACGTATTCACAGGCGAGGCGCATTGCGACACGTGCTCGTATTAAGATTGTCGTTTGCGCCGACCTAACGTCATTTCCTCGGTCCGGGTGCGGGTCGTATTCCACAGGAATGACGAGCATGCATGTCGCTCGTTTCGCACACATGCACGCGCACGCAGATGCACGCATCAGGTGCACCGTGCACGGCGGCTTATGTAGACTCTCGCGTTTATTACGTCGCGAGGCAACGGAATCTCCGCCCGTCGATCGGAGTTTCGAACTAGAAACACCCTCGGCTCCGAAGCTCAAAGCGGGCTCGTAAAGAATCCGAGCGCACTCGTTCCGCCGTTCGTCTCGTCCGTCTGCAGTTACCGCAGATCGACGCAAAATTCCTCCGTGTTACATAGCTGCTCTGAGACACACGAGAGGTCTCGCCGTGGAAACTGGATTGGCCCAATGGGATTGGAAACGAATCTCGCCACCGCACATTTCGTAGCTTCATGACCGCATGACGAATTCTTGCTTCCCAATGTCACTTTTGGTCGAAAACGTTATTGAGTAACGAATAAATTAAATCGGTTAAATATCTAGAACGTTGAACGTGGACGATCGATTGGCGCGATCGCGCGGTTGGTTCGGTTTTCGGTATGAGATATATTTCAATTTTCAACATTAATTTTATTTTAGACGGTAAATTTGTCTCGTGTAACACCAGCCGCTCGTTTTTCTTGCAGGTTTACGAGATGTACGTGACGGGTTATCAGTTCAAGGTACTATCACCGGTATTTACAGGCCACTGGGGACTACAGACTAGGAAGACCAGGCCTGCTTGGCGCGAGCGTCAAAACAGTGCCAACAGGAAACAATTCGAGACGTTCAAAAAGGAAGTATTTGCTCGTTACATGCGTGATCCGTTGAAAATGATGAAGAACATCAACTGACGAAAGGCTCATCGAGGATCTCATTGATTTGAGACTCCTCCGTTGATTAAGTTCGTCCTTAGGCTTAGCATCGAGGAATCCAGAGTAGAATTAGGCCTCTGGCTACCGTCAGTGCTCGCCACGTAATGTAGTTAATAGATTCGAAGTGTTTTTCATGTGATCGAACAAGTCAACGAAGAATTCGCCCGTCTAACATTCCTTCTTTATCTTCTATTATTACCTTTTTCATTATGTTTTAATGTATCAGATCTGATAATTTTCGCTCTCTCAATTTTATTTAATTTTGATATAAATTTGACTTATAGAATCACTTTTTCATCCATCGATATCAATTTATATATTGTATTATGTAAACAAGTATTTATACATTCTAAAGCACGATAACGTGGAATAGATAGAACTTTTTGACGAAGGATTGTCAATCTTATCCTTCGGAGTGGGAACAATGATGAAATCCGTATTAAGTGCAACGATGAAGTGCCACGATATGAGAGAGAACAGATGCCAGATCGGCTAACTACGATCGGCGGATTTGCGCTACTTATCGAGCCTTCCGGTTCAGCGATTCCGCTAGCCGGAATCAACCGCGAAAGCTCTTGTTACTTCCACTCACGATTTCCCAAAGTCATCAGAGACCCGCCATGCGGGATCGCGGAATAAATATCTCGTCGTGAGTTTCGCGGCACGTACTCGCGCACGACGAGCGGGAAAACGAGGGCAGGGGATCTTAAGTGAGCGTACCTCGTTAGCTGTCTGGGGCTTAAGAGGGTGGCGTTTAAATCCAAAATCGATACTCCGCTTGACGCTACTAGCGTAGCGCTTCGAAACGTAAAATAAACAAATGGCATAAACTGTCGTCGTGGCGTATGGTCTCGGATTTGTACTGATAGAAAATGCGAAAGTAATTTACAATAAATATGATATCTCTCGAGTCGCAGTACTCTTAATCATTAGGTTCTTTGATCCAAGTTAATTTCTTTCTCTTATAAAACACGGCACCAATAATCTTTTAATTATAAGAATTTGCTAATTCAGGAAACTTTACGAATTAAACATTAGGATGGAAAATAGACAATAAAAAATTTCAGAAGGTATATACTTTGGTCGAATTTTTAATTTACGATATAACGATTAAGATTAGATAATTTTCATATAATCGTTAAGTCGATTTTAAATAATTTGTAAATAATGCAAGGAATTTCAAATATTATCGTAAATAATCAAGTCGAGAATAGTAAATATGAGTGAATGGAAAGTAATAATTTTGCGGCATCGAAATATATCGCGTCTGACGAATCATGGGATCGACGATATTCGCGTGACATCCCGAGGCATAATGTATTTCATTTAGTACGTATTTCATTTAGTAATATAATCAAGCAAAGGGGGGGGGGGGGGGGGGGAGATGCACGTCTTTACGTTAATGTCGACATTTACTTTACATTATAAACTTACATTAATTATGTTAGATGAGATGTCACGAGATTTGCAGGCGCATGGTTCTCGTTTGTTCGCCGCGTTGTATAAACTCAACAGCGACGATTGCTCAATAAATATCAGCATCGACAACATTTTATCCAATTTGATTTTTTATTCTCTTTCTTTTTTTTAACTGACATGATACATCTTCTCAGATTTTTATAAATTCTTTTGTTGTAATAACGAAGTGTTATTGAATAAAATTTCATTTCATTGTTTATGCCTAAAAAAGCTTACAACAAAAAATTAATGAAAAATATGTATATATAATTTATATAAATATAGATAACAAATGTATATTTATAAGTATACAATTTTTTATATTTATTCTGACTTTCAAAATGAAATAAAATTGCTGATGTCAGTTAAAAGCTAATACGTCAACGTTTAGTTTAAGACACAGAGTTATCTTTATATTGTAATGTTTTTACTGATAGATGTATAAAATATAATATATAGATGTGTTGTGAAATAATAATGTAATAAAGAGAATATTATACGACTATATAGTTGTTTACAGATCCTTTAGATAAATTCACTGATAAGAATTAGTTTTAATATATTATATAAAATATATTAGAAGCTTTTAAATTATCTAAAAATAATTATAAAATTCCACCTTTATATATTGTTGCTTTATAAAGTATTAAAATTTCAAGGCATTTAATATAAAATAGTTAATTAAACTATTATAAATATCACAAATAAAGTGAAATACATTTCATGTAGAATTAGGATGTATATATAAATTCACACAAGAAATGTATATTTAAACATTAAGAGTTTGTTTGAATATAAGCTTTCTCTTATTTAATTAAATTCATTCTCATCGGTCTAAATTCGTATCCTATTGTTTAAAATAAAATTCTTTTTGAAATCTAACGTTCTCTTCTTGGTTTGCAACAAGTATTATTATTGAAGTCTCGATAGTCGAATTCAGATATGACACCCGTCCTGGAAAGTCGGGAATTCTAGATTCAAACTCTGAGGTAACATTTTTCGCAATAAATTATCTGCAGTTTATAAATTTTCATTTATATACGATGATTAATATTCTAGTAAGATACTTGTTAGCATAAAAACATGATTAAGTAAGTTGTCTAAATAATTTAATAAATGATATTACTATTCTGAATCTGTTAAATGAATTTAAGGTATAATGAAATAAAATAATTTTCACATAATTGCGTGTTAAATCGACTTTTAATTTATAAATAACGCCAATATTATATGGGAATACGAGGAATGTTAGGTACCATCATAGTTAAGTCAAGAATAGTAAATATGAATAAATAGTAAATGAGTGAATTAATTTCTATTTGTATTTAAATTTAGCTACTTAATTTAGCTACGATTCTTAAAATGTAAATATTACAAAATGATGAATGTGAAATCTTGTTCTTCACACATCGGCGTGCAATGTCTCGAAGACAATAGCACCGCTCTCGTATTATGCGGTGTTGTTCCATAAGATAACACTTGACTCCCCCGTTTATTCTCTAATCCCGTAAGCTACGCGAATAATCCGATTAAGTATGGCGCTATTGTGCTTTGCGAGCTAGAATGCGTCAGTTTTTTTTTCACGGCTATCTGGAACAATCCCGTGAACGTTCGGCAGTTAACTCGAATCGTGGATACAATGGCCGACAATAAAAAGTATCTATATATAGTGAAACTTCACCGAGTGTGTGAGATGAAAATGCTAACGATCGAGCGGTTTCAGGGCACATTCCAACGTGGCTCTATGGCGCCAGGTTGCGGCGCGTAGGTACGTTTTATCGTGTTACCGCGGTTGCATCGCGTGTCATAGGTGTCGGCTTCGAGTGCATCGAGACTTTCGAGTATACCGTGAAGAGATATCGAGGACACGTGCGTTGAATATACCGAAAAATATGAAAATGTGCTGGGATTTCTTCGGGGATAGATTTCTCAACGAATGTAGAAACGTTTCTTCCATAATAAAAATATCGATAGAGAGGCTATTATTGATTACAATTCTAAAAATTTTAATATCGGAGAAAGAGAGAGAGAGAGAGAGAGAGAGAGAGAGAGAGAGAGAGAGAGAGAAGAGATACCTTAGTTAAAATTCATCGCGAGTCAAAGTTTTATTTTCCCAAAGAGCTTCTCATTGCCAATAGCTTCTAACCTGAGAATTAGATTAGCTTTCCAACATTGTTGTAAATAAAAGCTCAACTTCATCAAACTCGAATAATCTCAACGATATCATTCAGGCTTTCTAGCATATCTTGCGTACGTATAGAGATAAATGATGATCCGTGGCTTGCTTTGAGTACATACGATCTCTGCAAACACCGGAGATTATTTATTTAATCTCGATTTCTATAATTGTATTTCTTGAGGCTTTTTCTTTACGAAGGAAAGCGTTTTCTTCACAAAATCTTTCTTCCCGACAATTTCTCGTAGCCCTACGTCTATGCATTCAGTGACGTAACTTAACGTTTAAGCTCGAGATATAAACCATTTTCCTGGCGTTTTCCCCGCGATCGTTTCGATTTAGTAAAGTTTGTTTACGACTATCGTATCTCGTTATGGAAGATCGGAAAGGATGCGAGAATCCGTAGTCGTAGTCGTCGTCATTGTCGTCGTTGTCATCGCCGTCGTCGACGTCGCTGTTATCGTCGTTATCACTTCTTGTTGGACCAACGTACGGACGCGCTATCCTGGCTGTTGTAAAGGATTACCGCGCGCAAGAGAGCGGAAGTTCTTTAAAAGGGAAAAAATGCGGATTTACTTACTTCGCAGTGCGCCGAACGCAAGGAAGAAGAAGATTCTGCTACACCACACGCGTTATACTATCAACGTACATATATCCTCGCGTATACCTCGCCACTTGTGAATATCGTTAATCCTGGAACGAATTTCTTGAAAGAGCACGCGTCGCACACCACGGTTTAAGTATAATATATTCCGGCGCAAATGTTAAAGCTCTCGTTGTATATTCAACGCCGTATATACGGGTATATGCTCATTAATAATCATAAGAACGCAGAAGCGCACCTCTAATTGCGTAATGGTGATCATGGTGATTAGAATTTAAAGAGAATATTCAGTTTGTCTGATGAAGAGATGAGATATCACTTCTTGTAAAGTGAAATGATAGAAGATAAGGATAATTATGTATCTTCTGAAATTTGTTATATTTGCGTCTCGATTTTAGAATAAAAATTTTATTCGTTAATTTATATTTTATTAAAATAAGCTTTTCATTATTATTTAAAAGATAAATTTGAATACTTGTACACCTTCACGTAACTGTTTACATTTGTATCTAACATTTAAATGTTTCCTTCTCTTCCCATTACATCTTCATGTTGCAATAGCTTGACTAAGCGATATAATAACAATTTTACTTAAACAACGACTCTTTGCACTTTTTGTGCTGCCAATTCGTTTTAAGGATAATTTAACTGACTATATAATATCTGTTTCTACCAATGTGGATTAATTTTAATTCCCTTTTAATTTACTTTTTATCTTTTTCTCATTCTTAGAACTGAAGAAAAATAAAAAAAATAAGTTAAAACCAGGATTAACGTTAATCTATTATACATTGGTAGAAATGGGTTCTACACATGTTTTATCGGAATAAACGTTTTATTTCATTATTATTTTGAATATTAAAGTAGAAACACGTATACGTCTTTATGCAACTGTTTACACTTGTACTTAACGTTTAAAACATTTTCTTCTTCACTGTGTTTTCGTATTACGACAGTTTAGTTACGCAATGTAATAGTTTTACTTAAGCAACGAGGACCTCTTACACTTTTCATACCGCCGACTCGTTTTGAAAATAGCTTAATTTTCTACACGTTGCCAGCTATTTAGCTAGTTCTCTGCCAGTTTGCACGAGTCTGAGGGAAAAAGGAGAGTGGGATGATGTGTGCATGAGAGGGATTCGCCGCGGGGTACGTAGGATGCAGACAGAACGGTAGATAGGACGCGCGTATGTATGTGTACCTGTAGATATCATGTAGGTGCTCGTCGTAGGTAGATATTACACGATACATCCCCCTGTCTACCCCTGTACCTGGCTAAATTATTAGATTCACCCTCTCGACTCCTCATCTCCCGTTTTTCTTGTCGTAGTCGACTTGGGTAGTAACTTTTTTCCACTCCTCCACTACAGGGAGCTGCCATTTCTCCCTTATCCTCGTCTAGATTTTTCTATTAGACTCCTCAAAGAGGCTCGAAAAGGTATACGCAAAAAACGTCGTCGCACGAAAGAAAAAGCTCGAACGTAACGCGAATATTAAAATGGAGTTTTGAATTGGTTCACGTGTCGATTTACTCCTCAGAAAGCGAGTGGTTTTGAGATTAAACCATTTTGCAGGAGTGTAGCGAAGTGGTAGAGCGTAAATAGATTTTCCGTCGTATTGGCTATCAGTGTTATGCCTGATTAATTCATCACGAAAACCATTTGCAATTCATTTACTTTACCGAGTAATATTAATCTTGGAATATTGATATAATATTGATTTCCAAATCATGGCGCTGTTTCAGTTCTATAATTGGAAAAGAAATTATTAAATATTTTTATTTATAAGCTTGTTATAAATAAAACTTTAAAAAATATAAATGTAGATTTAACACCATGATGTCTATATAATTCTCGTGTGGGTTGAC